AAAAAAAAGAAATACGAGGATCCAGCCCAGGCACATGGTGGGTGCCATCCCTGCTGCAGGGAGAGGGACAGACAAGTTTGTGCACAAGTACAGTTCTGAAAAAAGCATCCACAGTAAAGAAAAGAAAAAAGTTCCATGTGGCTAAAGCATAAGAGACTGGGGAGGGAGAATGGGGCAAGGTGAGGCTGGAATGGAGAGGTTCTAAGTCAATTTAAGGAATGAGAACTTCAACTGACAAAATCTCTTCTGCACTTTAACACTTGCTCTAGCTTCAGAGTGAAGCAAGGATGAGAAGAAACAAGTACAGAGGGAAATCCATCAGAGGAATCCAGGAGACACATAATGATACCTGGTCTAGGGTGGTGGCATGGGAAAGAGAGAGAAGTAGGAATCACAGGGTAGGGGTAGAAGTGGGAAGGGAAATAAATCAGCGAGAACTCAAAGATGACTCTGGTTTTTATCTAGCAAAATAAGATAGTCTAGTGGTGCCATTTACTAAGACAGGAAATACTGGCACAGAAGACGTTTCCCTCCCCTTGTACTGCCCTTAATCCCACCCCCATGGAGAGAAGGGTAAGATGATGTTACGAATTCCAGTTAGCATATGCTGTTTATAGTACCTACAGGCCACTTACACAGGACTGTCTGGTATGAAAATGAATGGCTGGGATTTTACCCACCTGCTATGTTCACACACTATAGCACATATCACATTGTGCTATATTTGTTTTGTGTGTCCCTCTTTCATTCAAGAACACAATCCGAGAGAGAGACTGTTTAGCATGTGGTGTTCCCGGTGAACAAAGCAGGAAATCATTAAAAGTTTACTGGCTGAACCAATTCCAGCTCCTTCCTCCCTTCTATTCCTGTTTTCCTGAAGGTAAGGAACTATCTCTAATCTCCCTCTCCCCTACCCTAGTCACACAGAGAGGTAGTCTACAGCCTCAGGGTTTCTTCTCTTCATGTCCAGGTCTACCCACCTTCGCCTCCAAACAATCTCCTCCACTGCTACTCATTTCCATCCAAAAGCATCTACTCAATTAATCATTCAACTTTTTCCAAAAACAAGTTGATGGCTTCCTACTATCTACCATATTAAGTATAATCTTCCCAAACCAAAATTTGTTTGTATTCCCGCCTGTTGTTGTTAAGTGCTGTCCAGTCAGTTCCTACTCACAGCAACATTGTATAGGGTTTCCAAGGAGCAGCTGATGAGTTTCAACCGCCGACCTTGTGGTTCAAATAGACCTTGTGGTCCAGCACTATACCCCACAGTGCCACACTTAGGTGCTGTAAAATCAGTTCCAACTCAAGAACAAAGTGAAACATTGACCAGTCCTACACCATCCACCCAATCACTCTTAAGTTTGAGGCCACTGTTAGAGCCACTGTGTCAACTCAGCTCGTGGAGGGGCCTTCCTCTTTTTCACTGACACTCTACCAAGCATGATGTCCTTCTTCAGGGGCTGCTATTGTTGTTGTTAAGTGCCATCGAGTCGGTACAGACTCATAGCGACCTTATGCACCGTAGAATGAAACACTGCCTGATCCTGGGCCAACCTCACTGCTGTTGCCACGCTTGAGTCCATTGATACTGCCACTTGGCCAATCCATCTCATTGGAGGTCTTCCCCTTATTCTCTGACCCTCCTCATTACCAAACATAATATCCTTTCTCCAGCGACTGGTCCCTCCTGACAATATGTCCGAAGTATGCGAGACGAAGTTTGGCCATCCTGGCCTCCTAGTAATCATTTATTTGGGAAAGTTCTACTGAGCATCTACTATGCCAAACACTGGAGATAAAGGGCATATAGGATATAAAGACAATAGAGCAATCTGTAAATTGGGGGTTCACAGATTGAACTGGCTCTTTATCTTTTCTAGTAGAAATCTTTCAGTTTCTCTACCCATACCTATGTTCTAGATAAACTGACTTCTCTCTGCTTCTAGGCAAGCTTATGACTGCCTGTCTTTTGTTTAATCCAGAACACATTTTAACAATCTAATCCCAGTATTGGCTGACAAGTATGATGGGGTTGAAAGAGGCACAGGAGACAGATAATGAAAGGTTTTATATGCTATTCCAAGGAGTTTAATCCAAAAGACATTAAGAAGGAGGACCCAGTGACATATAAGAAGGGATGACAAGACCAGCTCACCTTAACAAGACTAAGTGACTCAGCCCAGATATAAATTTCTCACCAGGGCTAACCAAAGTCAGCTGCCATGAGTCAACTCTGACTCCTGGCAACCCCATGTGTCAAGAGTAGAATTGTGCTCCATGAGGTTTTCAAAGGCTGATTTTCAAGTAGACCTCATGACCTTTCTTCTGAGATGCCTATGAGTGGACCTGAACTGCCAACCTTTGTTTGTATCACCCAGGGATTTCTACTTAATCTTAAAACAAAACAAAGAACACATGGGAGTCCATTGCAACTCATAAGGATCTTATAGGACAGATTAGAAATCCATGAGGTTTCTAAAGGCTGTAAACCTGTACATAAGCAGACTGTCACATCTTTCTTTTGTGGAACGGCTGGTGGGTTCAAACTGCCATCTAGTTAGTTAACAGCCAGGTGTTTAATCACTCCACTACCACGGATCCTAAGTCCTTAATCTTAAACCCCTAACAACTATTTTCTATTTTTTGCATTCATAGTTCAAAAGAGCAGCTCATCTCCCTTTTCTGAACATGTTGCATCCTGATTTGCCACTGACCCCCTTAGCTACTCAATCCAAAAAGCATTTTCTAGTCTTTGCTTGACTTCTCTGCACCATTCCATGCTACCTCTATCTCAATTTAAAAATCCTTCTCTCCTATTGTTATTTAGAGTACTGGTGTGGTGCAGCAGGTTTGAACCCACAAGGTCAGCGGTTCAAGTTCATCAGTTGCTTCTCAAAAACCCTCTAAAGTGATGGTCTTCTTTGATACTTATGTAGTATGGCAAGTCCTACAAGAATGAACTCAGTTATCTCATTCCTGGGAGGTTTTGCAGACAATACTACCCACCTTGTCTTCATCTCTCCTATCCTACCATAGCATTTACAAGCATATTCATCACACCCTGTGACTAGCTCTGTTTCCACCACTAGATTTGAGAGCAAGGCTTATTCCTTATCTCTAAATCCTGAGTTTCTCTGCACAGTATTGGACATACAGCAGACATCCAACAAATGCTTGTAAAACTAATCACTATGTACCTACTGTAGTTATTTGTGTACATTTCTAGTTCTCCCTTTAAGTGTCTTCAAGCCTTGGGGGGTGTCTTCTCCCTTACCCACAAAGCACAAGTCTGGGGGGCGGGGGGGAGGTCTTCAAAAAATTCGTGAAAAAACTGGATTAAAGAATGGGGTGTTTCCATTAATTTTTTGAAGCGCCTCATATACACAGTGCTTTTTAGTAAACTTTAACAGCATTCCAATACTCAACATCTACACAAATGCTCTGTTGTTGTTAAGTGCCAATGACTCGGTTCCGACTCATAGAGACACTATATAGGGTCGAGGAGTGTGGCTGATGGGTTTGAACCGCTGACCTTGTAGTAAGCAGTCCAGTGCTTATCCTACAGCATCACACCAGGACTTCTTGTTGTTAAGTGCCGCAGAGTCGGTTCCGACCCATAGCGACCCTGTGTAGGGTTTCCAAGGAGTAGCTGGTGAGCTTGAACCACCAACCTTGCAGTTATAAACGGCTTTGCAGTCTGGCGCATTAACCCACAGCGCCACACCAGGACTAGCTGAGTTATAATGGTTGGTGTGACTTACTAAGAGGTCCATGTATGAGTCATCCTCTCTTGAAATATAGGTTGAATGAGGGCTCCTGGGGGGTTTGTGTATGCGAGGGTGGGGGGGGTTACAAAGCCGGGCTTATATAGGCCTGTGGAATGTGGGGACAACGTCCAAAAGAGAAGAAAACTGGACTTTCTCATTTCTCCCTTCGGCACCATATGTTTTTCCTCCTCTCTTAACCAATCCCAGTTAAGCCCGTGCAAAACACGCGGGCACTTCTTCTATCCCCCCCACCTTAAACCCACTCCTGCCAGGACACTCTCCCGGTGCCAAATCACGCATGCGCGGGAGACACCGCACGGCCAGATCAGTCTCGTGGCCCATGATTCTCTACTAAGACACGCGCACTCTGCTCTCTTCTTTCCTCTTCCTCTCTCGTTCCTCCCTTGCCAACAAGCCTCACCTGCGGGGCTCGTGCTCTCTCCGTCCCCGATCCACTCGGGCTCCGGCGGCTGCTGCTTAGGCGCCTTCGGCATCGCGGTGGCAGTTACGGATACTCTGACGGCGCCCGGTGCTGTTTCCGTTTCCGGCGGCAAAGATCCCCGAACGGGGCGGGCTCTGCCATCCAGAGCGGCGGACTCCGCCCCACGGGTGCTGCACGTGCTTGCTGCTGCATCATCCTGGGGCGTTCCTGGGACCAGGTGGAGTAGTGATCTGCGGAGAACCGCGGGTGGAGGGCGTGTCAGCCCTCCCGCAGCGTCAGCTGCGCCTTTATGAAGGTCTGGGAATCCTGACCCGGGTGACCTGGGACGCCGCGTCACTCAAGGAGACTGAATTTAATAATTTCCAACGATAACTAATGTGCCAAGGCATAATTTTTACTTCAAGCTTCCCCCCCCCGCCCCCCCGGTAGTTGTTGAGACATACTTTTGTTTTAATTTAAAGTGGATACTGTCTTCTACTAAACTACTAACTTGATCACAGAAAAGATGATCTAGTTCATCGACTCAGTAATAGGTCAGTCGGCCCAGTGTTGAGATGTGTTACATAATCCCAAAGTTTACAGATATCGGATCCCACTTCCTCAAATTATAAATGAGGGCTGCTGACTGTAAGGTTGGTGGTTCAAACCCACCAACAGCTCCTTGGAAACTTTACAGGGTCGCAGTGAGTCAGAATCGATTTGTCAGCACTGAACAACAGAGTTCAAGGAGTGAAATCATGATGCAGTAGAGCTGGTGTTCACTTTTTTGTTTTTTAATAACTTTATTAAAAGTATACATTACCTAAAGAAAAAATTGATTATTGAGTCAATCTTAGTTAACAGGGTTGGTGTTGTTAGGTTCTGACTCATAGCTACCCTATGCACAACAGAACAAAACACTGCCTGGTCCTACCATCCTCATTACCTTTCAGCCTATTATTGCTGCCAATGTATCGCATCCATCTCTTTTTGGGGTCTTGCTCTTTTTCACTGACCTTTCACTTTACCGAACATGATGTCCTTCTCCATGGACTGGTTCCTTCTGACAGCATGTCCTAAGAATGAGGCAGTTTTCTTTGGAGAACACATCTTCTCTTCTAAGGAGCATCCTGTTTGTACTTCTTCCCAAGACAGATTCGTCTGTTTTTCTGGCAGTCCGGTACTGTTAATATTCTTTGCCTTAATTCAAATGCACCGATGTTAAGCAATAAACTGCTCTTGAATAGAAAATATTCACACCAAAAGTGGTAAGGAGCTAGATCAAGCAACCAAGTACACAGTTTTAAAAGGCAGTTAAGAATTTCTACTAGAGAAATTGAATTACCAAGTTTTATAATGCCATTATTATAAAGTCTTGTCGTTGGTCTCATAGTATAATTCTCTAGTGGGGATTGGTTGTGTCTGACAGGCTGCATCAGAAACATCTTTCAATGGCAATGTGGTTTTTGTTGTTTTTTGTTTTTTTGGGGGGGCGGGGGGCGGGCAGGAATCCCTGCAGTCAGACCATGTTGAAAATTCTTTGTTGGTTTATATCTGGCATTTTAATTCATTGTTCTCTGAAAGATCCAAATCTGACACAATGGTCACTTTGTTCTTAACAGCAACAAACAGCTCATATTTAAAGTGTTTAATTTGATATAAAATGTTTACATATGTATATGCCATTTCTAAGGTGTGCTTGCTTGACCCAAGCCTTGATATTTTCAATAACTTCATATGAAAGTTGGACAGTGAAAAAGGAAGGCCATAGAAGAATTGATGCATTTGAGTTATGGTGCTGAAGAAGAATATTAAAAGTACTATGGACTGCTCAAAGAACAAATAAATCTGTTAGAAGTACAGCCAAAATGCTCCTTAGAAGCCAGGATGGCGAAACTTCATCTCTCATACTTTGTATGTGTTATCAGGAGGAACCAGACCCTGGACAACGACATCATGCTAAGTAAAATGGAGGGTCAGAAAAAAAGAGGAAGACCCCCAATGAAATGGGTTGGTACAGTGGCAGCAGCAATGGGCTCAAGCTTAACAGTGATTGTGAGGATGGCTCAGGACTAGGCAGTGTTTCATTCTGTTGTGCATAAAGTGGCTATGAGTTGAAATGGACTCGATGGCCCCTTACAACACCACCACCATTATCATTAGTCATCTGTCAGTTTGTCTGACTGTAACAGCTTGTGTGTTGCTGTGATGCTAGAAGTTGTGCCGCTGATAGTTGAAATACCAGCATCATTGATCATAGTGAACAGGTTTCAGTAGAACTTCCAGACTAAGGCAGACTAGAGAGAAGGAAAAGTGGACCACTTCTGAAGAGTTAGCCACTGAACAACCTTATGAGAGGCAGCATAATGTTAGTCCTGGAAGGTGAGACCCTTAGGTTGGAAGGCACTCAAAATACGACTTGTGAAGGGCTGCCTCCTCAGTGTAGAGTTGCCCATTATTGATATGGATGAAGCAAAGTTTTAGGGACCTTTATTTTGCTGATGTAGTACAACTCAAAATGAGAAGAAACAGCTGCAATCATACATTAATAATTGGAACATAAAATGTACGAAATTATGAATCTAGGAAAATTAGAAGTTGTCAAAAATGATCTTAGTCATCAAAACATTATCCCAGAAAAAAACAAAACAAAACAAAAACATTATCCTAGGCATTAGTGATCTGACATGGACTCTTATTGCCATCTTAAATCAGACAAGCATATGGTTTACTATGCCAGGAACGACAAAGATGAATGGCATTGCATTCATCATCAAAAAGAGCATTTCAAGATCTATCTTAATGTACAGTGCTATGATGCTATTCATACACTTAAAAGGAAAACCACTTAATAACACAATTATTCAAATTTATGCACCAACCACTAAAACCAGTGATGATGAAATTGAAGAATTCTGCCCATTTCTTCACTCTTAAATTGATCAAACATGTAATGAAGATGCAATGATATTTATTGGTGATTGGAATGTGAAAATTGGAAAACATCACCTTGGTGACATAAATGATGCTGGAGAACACATCATAGAATTTTGCAAGGCCAATGACTTACTCATTGCAAATACCCTTTTTTAACAACATAAAAGGTGACTATACACGTATACCTCACCAGATGGAATAAACAGGAAGCAAATTGATTATATCTGTGGGAAGAGACGATGGAGAAGCTCAAGGCCAAGGGCTGACTGTGGAACAGATCATCAATTGGTCATATTCAAGTTCAGGCTAAAGCTGAAGAAAATTAAAACAAGTACATGAGAGCCAAATAATGACCTCACATAATCCCACCTAAATTTAGAGACCATCTCAAGAACAGATTTGATGTATTAGATACCAGTGCCTGAAGACTAGAAGAGTTATGGGATGACATCAAGAACATCATATATGAAAGGACAAAAGATCATTTAAAAGACAAGAAAGAAAGAAAAGACCAAAATGAATGTCAGAAAAGATTCTGAAACTTACCCTAGAGCATAGAAAAGCTTAAGTAACTGGAAGAAATGAGGAAGTAAAATTGTTAAACAGAAAATTTCAAAAAGCATCTCAATAAGACAAAGTAAAGTATTACAATTAATTATGCAAAGGCCTGGAGTTAGAAAACCAACATGGAAGAACATGCTCAACATTTCTCAAGCTGAAAGAACTGAAGAAATAGTTCAAGCCTCGACTTACAATATTGAAAGATTCAATGGACAAGATGTTGAATCACACAGAAAGCATCCAAAAGAGATGGAAGGAATATAAAAGGCCACTGTAACAAAAAGAATTGGTTGATTCAGCCATTTCGGGAGCATATGATCAAGAACCAATGATATTGAAGTAAGAAGTCCAAGCTACACTGAAGGCATTGCTGAAAAACAAGCCTCCAGGAATGGATTACAATACAAATTAAAATGTTTCAACAAACTGATGCAGCACTGGAGGCACCCACATATCTATGTCAATTTTTGGAACAAAAAATTTGGAAGACAGCTACCTAGCCAACCAATTGGAAGAAGTCTATATTTGTTCCCAATCCAAAAAAAAGGTGACTAACGGAATGCGAAAATCATATAACAATAATATTAATATCACAAGCAAGTAAGATTTTGCTGAATGTAATTAAAAAACAGTTGCAGCAGTACATCAAAAGGAACTGTCAGAAATTCAAGCCAGCTTTAGAAGAGGATGTTTAACAAAGGATATCATTGCTGATCAGGTGGATCTTGGCTGAAAAAGAATTCTAAAAAAAAATGTTTACTTGTATTTTATTGACTTGCAGAGGCATTCTACTATGTGGATAATAACAAACTGAGTATTCCAGAACATTTAACTGTGTTCATGAGGAATCTATACATAGAATAAGAGGTAGTTGTTTGAAAAGAACAAAGGGATACTGAATGATTTAAAATCAGGAAAGGTGTGAACCAGGGTTGTATCTTTTCACCATACTTAATTCTATCTGTATGGAGTCCTGGAGTGGTGCTGTGAAATAATGCACTGGACCGAAAGGTCGGTTTGAACTGCAAGGTCGGCAGTTCAAATTTACCAGCTGCTCTTCAGAAACCCTATACAGAGTCACTACGAGTTGGAACTGACTCGATGGCACTTAACAACGATTCCATCTGTATACTGAGCAAAGAATTCTGAGAAACTGGGTTATATGGCATCAGGATTTAAGGAAGAATTATTACTAACAATCTTCAATATGCAGATGACACAACCTTGCTTGCTGGAAGCAGAGGACTTAAAATACTTACTGATGAATATAAAAAAATACAGCTTTCAGTATGGATTGCTCCATAACGTAAAGGAAATAAAAATCATCATAACTAGACCAATAAATAACATCATGCTAAATGGTGAAAAGATTGAAGCTGTCAACGATTTTATTTTGCTTGGATCCACTATAAACATGCATGGAAGCAGCAGTCAAGAAATCAAACAACATATTGCATTAGGCAATAGTACTGCAAAAAACCTCAGAGACTAGTTTGAGAGCTAAGGTGCACCTGACCCAAGTCATGGTATTTTCAATTACCTTATATGCATGTACAAGTTGGACAGTGAATAAAGAAGGTCACAGAAGAATTAA